CTATCCCTAACTAATTTATATTTTATGAACTAACCAACCAAATCACTCAATTCCCAATGATCTTCCAATCTCTCCAATCCACGGTGTAGTTTAAAACATACAAATACAATTAAAATATAAAATTAAAAATCACATAATTATTCTCTAATTAGGCGACATACGACAAAAAATATGCCTGTTAATCTCAAAAAAGGCTAAGAAAAACAGTGGTGTCGTGACTGGGCGTTAATCTTAAATTTTAATTGTTATATATTAAATATATAACTATATTATATAATATAATTTAAATAGCTGCTATAATTATTTATAATATTTTACTAGTTTTCAACTAACAAATTGTTGAACCCATGTAAAAGTTATTCTAAGAATAAGATTCTTCATTCAATGAAACATGCATTTTTTCTTCATTACAAGTTTGACATTCACGACTCACTCGTTAGTCATAAGCATAACCCTCATAAGTATTAAAAAAAAATTGTGAAATAAAAAATTTAAGACCTTCTATTTCATTATAAAACCATCTTGTTTCAAATAAATGTTATAAATGTACAATACATTACGGGGCATTTCTTCCAATTGTAGATGGATCAGATGACTGAAATATATGATATAGGTATTATTATTATAGGTGTGAACGATTGGCGCGAGGTGTAAAAAGATAAATATAGTTTATATATAAATATATACCTATGATATAGCGAAGAATGGAGGGTGGTTTTCCTTTTTCTCTTCCTTTCTCTTAATTAAAGTAATGGGATTAGACTAATCCGAGACATAACAGAGGCACAGTCGCACGATGGTGAGCCGGGCGGTGCTGCGGGGAATAAAACGTCTTAAGGCCTCCTCAACTGCGGGGCGGGACTTCTTAACTACACCCTAGAGTACTTCAGGGCTACAGACTTAAATTAATTGCCCCGTAACTCCAACAAAGCGTCTCATCGTCGTAATTTTATTTCATAATAAAAATCGTAGACTTGTACAAAGGGTTTACTCCGTTTATATATATATATATAACAATACAGCTACTTTTCGAACACTTACTTTTTTCATTTTTTTTTTTTTTTATCTCACTCTACTTTATTTAAATTTATTTCGTCCCAACGATTAACAATTACTATACTTCTCATTTCAATAATGTACGCATATAATTACGGCAATAAATTAAACTTTTTATTTGTGGTTTAATAACCACACCAATTTCAACATGAAATATGAAATAAAGTACACTTTCGGCAACTGCAATAAATTTGTATTATATATTACGTCACGCGCCAATGTGTCACATATTTTAAACAAAATATTGAATATTATTTTCAGTAAATAAATATTTACAACATGAACTTTGATATTTTATTTATTCACTCTGCCTCTAATACTGCATCTTTATCTAATAATATTTAAGTCAACATTAAATTATTTGTAAAAAACACTTAAATACCTATATTTATTCAAATTTTAGTTGATTTAATTTGATAATGAACATTATTATTAAATCATCGAATTAATAAGTAATAACTAAAATAAATAATGGTACTTATATATTAATTTTGTTTTTGAAACAGTATTTTTCTTATTTATACATTTATGAATACATTATACATATTTTATATATTACATGCTAATCTGAATAGGGCGTATAAAACTATATTTTTTAAATATTATGATGTGTACACTGTACAATTTAGATGGATATATTTTTTGATTATTTCAATTAACCAGTTTTTGAGTTAAATAGGTGGTTCAAAAAATGTATTTAACTTCTCATTTTTGCCACCTTCACAATTCCTGGGAACCCTCCCAGGAGGCTCAGAAGGAAATGGTGTAGAGATCTTCTCAATGAGTAATTGAAGTAGCTTTATACATTAAAAAATTAAAATTACCAAGTAAAGGCAGTGTAACCACTGGATGACTCCTCCCATCGCGTTTTCATGTAAACACTTTCTAATTTCACATATTCTTATTGTCCCTAAAGGAACAGATTGTATATATCTTATAAAAAAATAAAAAATGAAAAAACTTCTTATTTTACTGAAAATCAACAGACATAGACAATAACTGGAATTTTGGAAATAAAGTATAATATATACGGCGGTGTTATACGATTGCGAACATTTTACCATTTTAGTAGTACGATTGCGGACGATTTTTTGAGCGACGTTGTCGTTTGAATTAATTTTTCATATCGTTGTATAAAAAATACTTTTAACATTTTTTTTTTAAATAATTCAATTTTTGAAACCGTTGACAAAAATCTTATTTTTAGGTATAGTGTATATTTAGTGTTGGTAAAATTATGTAATTTAAGAATAATTTATAGTTAATAAATAAATATAATGTAATTATAATATTACATACAATTTAATAATATACTACAAGGTACTTATTAACAGTATAATAAAATAAAACTTAATCATGCAAATTGTACTCAAACGATTCGCAGTCCGCAGTAGCTATTGTACTCCATTAAATGCAGGTACACTTATAATAAATACGATTTGAATGTAATCTATTTGATAGGCGGAACCCCAATTAATTTGTAAGACCCATTTAAGTAGCTGCAAATCACAGTGTAAAAATAGGGAGGAAGGAAATTTGGAAAGAGTGAGAGAGAAAGCGAGGAAGATGGAAATGAATAATGAAATAAAGAAAACGATTACGTTAAGCTTTTAATAGCTATGTTGTGCGCTTGTTTAATTTGCCAAATGGTATTAAATGCACATATTCGAATTAATTTCGTTTTTTTTTATCTCAAACCCCTCTAGTAACTGGTACTTAAATCCTTAAGCTACGAAAAAAGTCATAATAAAAGCGGTAATCAATTAGTATTATTGGCAAGTTAACAGAATAATTGTTAGAATATAATAAAGTACCTACCTACTGAAAATCGAACACTATACGTAATTATATTATAATCATCATATTTTAGTTATTTTCGAATGCACAAAACAAGAAGTATAATCCCATGTTAATGCACATAAATATATATTAAATAATGAAACAATTATTTAAGTACATTATTTGTTGAATGGTTTTATTTTGTGGAAGACATTATAACTTTCATATATTATACTTATTCACACATACCCATTTGTACACTGTACATTATAGTATTGCACATACTTAAACCTATATAATTACGTGTATTAGAATTTCTAATTACTCGTATGTATAGAAATATAAGAGAATTGATTTCTTGTATTAATATTTAATTTATCTCATATTTGTATTAATCTATTCGGACTTACGAAAAAAGTACATTTTATTATACTTTTCAAACTTTACCAACAACAAAAAAAATTAATTTGTCAAATCTCAATTTACTCATATGTATAATATTGAATACAAGTGTATATAGTTACCTAATTTGTACAATGTACATATTGTCAAATTGTTTGAATGTGTATACCTATAATATAAATAATAATAATATTTGTTGCGATGAGCACAAATATATATTTAATTAAACAATGAATACAAAACTTTGAGTTTAATTTAGCCTTAAAATGGTTACAACAATATTAATTTATTCTGTTAAATAATTTGTTTTACTAAATTATTCCTAACTCACCATCCTGTTATTTATCTTGTAGCAGAATTCCTGAGAATTAAATTTGTTGCAAAACAGTGCAATTAAATGTTAACCTTGAAAAATGTTTAAATAATTGAATCACTTAAAATGATGCTTAATAACAAGAAAGCAGATATATATGTATAAATTTAAATCTTGGGTATTATAAATTATATAACTAAAGAAATAACTGAAATGTAAAACAATAATACCTATATAAATTAACCTCAATTTAAAATGCAAATGTATTTTGATACAATGATCCTTTTATGTATGGTATAATTATATAAAACAACTAATAAGAAGATAGTTTGAACATTTTGAAATTAAACTTATTGTGAACCATGTTTGAAATACACTATATTTTATTTTTATCGAATGCCAGGTTGGTCCAAAATACAGTAGTAACTAGTAAAGGTATTTACAATAGTATGAGTTTAGTAAAAGTGAGACGGAACTATTTAACCAGATTACAACGGGAATAAAGGGTTTGTGTTAGCTGACGCATCAAACGGTCAATTGGATTATTCTAAAATAAAGTGGATTAAACGTGGAGTCGTGGAGTGACACGAAAGTTTATAGGGGAAAGGAGCGATGGGGCATGAACTGAACCGTCAATAAGATTTTTAAAGAACCTTATGTTGCTATTTTCCTATCAGCCAGAGTTAACAGACCTAGCTCATGGAAAACTGGACAATGGTCGTGTAAGGGGTGGGAAATATCTTGTACATAGCTGGCATAGGGTAGAAAACGCCTTTGGTTTGCTCTATAGTAGAAGAGTCTGAACCTGTGCGGGGGACCCATTGGATTGATCTGTACCCAAGCAGGGGCCGAACTAACGAGCCTTAAGGGCTTTTATTGGAGAGGTGAGCTTAAAGTCAGACGATATCCATTCTATGAACCCTAGGGCTTTATAAGTCATGCAACTTATTGATAAAAATATGAGATTAGTAGCTGAGGTCTGGAGATACATTATGATACTACTTCAATATTCAAATCACCTGATGCATTATAGTCTATAAGTATATTCACATAGCGCATTATTGCAGGTTTTATCTGAAACATTTAATAACAAACTGAAAATACGCACAAAAAAAAAAATACAATAATACACATAGATAACTATGTGTATTATTGTATTTTTTAATAATAATTTAATACAATTGCATAGTATACAGTATTACGTATACATTGCTTAGATACCTATAACTTGAAAAAAGTAATCTGTAAGGCACTTTAAGTGACCAAGTAGTTGAAAAAAAAATAAGTTAAATATTATAAAAATTGCTGTCCATAATAAACCATGGTTGATTGTTATTTTGGTCCGACAGTTTGAACCCACGTGACATAATGCTATTTAAGTATACAACATATAATATCTATCAGACATTTATACGGAGTTTTTATTTTAAATATTTTGTTAACATTCTAGATTTCAAAGAGCCTAAAGAAGACGGAGTGGAAGACTACCGTCAAACGTTCGATGGTTCAAAAAATAATAACAGTAAACAGTTAAATGGTCCGTCCAATAAGCAGAGGCGAAGTAGGACCAACTTCACTCTTGAACAGCTCAACGAACTCGAAAGACTTTTTGATGAAACCCACTACCCAGATGCATTTATGAGAGAGGAGCTTAGTCAGCGCCTTGGTCTCAGTGAGGCTAGAGTACAAGTTAGTTTTATTCTATAAGTTGGACAAAAATAATTCTAAACAATTATAGAAACCGTTCAAAATATCAAAGATTGATATTTTCAAAAACAATTGTTCGAGCAATAGGGCAAGTATAAAAACGTGCAAAATTTGAAATTTAAACAGCGGTAGTACGCAATGCTTTTTTATTTGAATGTTAAGTCTTATAGTTGAACTTAGTGATTTTGAATTCGATCATATTAAATCACGGATAATTTATACCATTTAATTTTAAAAAATGTAAATGTAATTGAAATGTTCAACGTTTTTAGGTATGGTTTCAAAACAGGCGGGCCAAATGCCGAAAGCATGAAAGTCAAATGCATAAAGGTATGATTTTACTTTTATCTTTAATTCAATAGAAATAAAACAGATAATATATTTTGTATATTTGTATGTAGTCGATTATTCAGAATGATGCGACTGTAATCACGGTGAAGTACCTACCTTAACAGAGTTAATACTTAATTCAAATTATTATATCTTTTATATATTATACAGTACACACATTAAACAAATGTATAAAAAATGGTTATGCAGCAATCTTAAAAAACGTACACTTTATGGCAGTTGCTTCCTATATTAATTTGCCCCAATATTTCAGAAAAAAAATTTTTCACTGTAAAAAAATGATTTATTATAAAGTTAAATTCGTCTTCTATGAACTATATACCTATTAAAAATATTTTATGTTGTGTGCTTTTATTAAATATTCAAATTATACTATTTGAAAAAAAAACCCTAAAGTAATTTTTCAAAACCCTATAGAATAATGTACCACCTAACTAAAACTTTATTATTTATTTATCACTTTACTTAATTTTACCTATGAAAAACATTCATTTATTTTTTACTACATGTTTAGCAAGAAAACAACTAAGTAATAGTACATTTAATATAAAATGTTTAAATAACACGAATACAAGTGTTTTAGTGTTTAGTACATTTTATCAAAACGATAAAAAATAAAATGTTTTAGAAGGGTTCCCGCGGCTCTTAAATAAAATGGAGAAAATCATTATTTTCGAATTATAATAACAAATCTGTTTTTAAATAGATCGCGTGCGTAAGACATAAAATAATATTATAGTGTAACTTTTTTTCATCGTACAACTTTAAGGTAATGATATTGAATTATGAATACTTAAACTTTATTAAAACCATTCATGACATAATTATTTTTAATACAAAAAAAACATTACATCCTACTGTTTCGATGATGGATATAAATACGTCGTCACATCATCTTGTCGTCGGTAGGTACTTAATATCCTAAATATAAGTTTATTATATCTAACGAATTATGACGGACTAGCTGCAGGATTTCGTTTTATTCTAATATTAATAACACGTATAGATATATTTTGCAATACGCGAATATCAAGAGCGAAACCATGCAGACGCAGTAGGCACACAGCAGTGGTTATTGGAGATAAATGTACATATAATGCACACAGTCACTGTGGAATAAAAATCGCACTTGTCATTTAGAAATGAAAAAAAAAATAAACGAGAAAGATAATTTCATTTTAATGTCCGACGGGGGATAGTATTATATTCGTCGACCCGCGCGTACACTCACATATATATATATAATATAATCGTATACAAACGCGATTAACGTACCGCAACACGTTTTATGGTCGGTCATTAATATTAATAATGTAAGTATAATTTTTTTTTTTGGGCGGGCAAAACAACGGCGACGAACGAATTATATTAAATCTGAGCGGGGCCAAAGGCTTATCCGTTAAACGGGGCGACTATTGTCCCGATGATAAAAAAAATATACATATATATACATAATATTATATAATTATAACATCTACAGGGGCGCGTGCTTAGAATTTGTAAATGTAATATAAATTTAAATGTAATTTACTAATATAATATTTTTTTTATTGTTTTTGTGATTCCGTCATCAAATAAAGTTGGTCATAATGGATATGCAATTAATATTAATTGTATAGTTCTCGTCCGCCACATAATAATGTAATACAATTTTTACAAACGTTGTCATTTTTAAACTCGTTTACAATTTTTTGACAAAATTGCAATAGAAATCAACGTCTTATTATGTGGATCATGGCCCTCTAACTGAAATAATATAGGAACCTTTATTTCGCTAGTCACTATAGTCGGCCTTTCTTTTTCAATATAAATCGCTCGATATTTCGTCACGCATTAATATTTCTTGCTCACACACTTAGTTCTCGGTATACAGTAGTAAATGGGTGCATTAATAAAAAAAAAAAAAAACCAAGTGAGATAGGTTCATCTAAGATATTGTATCTGTCTGAAATTATATACTTGCTGCTTAGCGTCACCGATCCCAATGCGAAAAAGCAGTCATACACTGCAGTATAATATTGCACAGTGAATAAAAATAAAATTGATAGTTAATTTTTGCATCCTTATTTCTGACGCTCGCCGTGGCTAACGCAGTGTTAAAGACATTTACGTGCTGTTCTCTTGTACGCATATGTACAACTCTGAGCTTAGATGTAAACATGGCAATATCGTAGACGTGTACTGTGTGCCTATACCTGTTATACAAGATGCAACCGAACGGACGATATTACAGTCGTGTAAAAAGTGCGATACAACTGCGATGACGACCGCAGGTTTATGTTCAGACGAGTAATGAAAATCGCATAAAAAAAAACGAATGAAACGAAAATAATTCACACAGACTTCACGAAATGCGACATGGTACGTGTACTACGTGTGCTGTAGTAATCAGTGGTCGAAGTGGCTCAAAATAAGTGGAAGGATATGCCTCTCACAATTTATATAGTTCTCGTATACTGCTCAGACGGTCATACGAAATTAGTGGAGGGATGGAAAATGTGAATTGTACAAAGCGGAAGGATGACATCCCACAGTATCTCCCCCCCCCCACTTCGACCACTGACAGTAATGGGGTGTTGAACCTGTGCTCGTCGGCCGCGGTCCTCGGAGCCGTCTCCTACGTGAAAATATTTCTTTTACAGTTTTACCTATATCCATGCATGAATAGCATTATATCAACGGATGATCTATGCACAACAGTCGTAGTCGTGATCGCGGTGCTGCTGGGGCAAGTGCGCATATACGACTGGACCGCGAGGAGGAATCGAAATCGAATTAGCGAAAGAAAAAAAAAACAAACAAACAAATTCCCACCCCCGAGGAGCAGTCGCCTTATTCTCACCCCAACCCGGTGGGGTACGAGAGTTTGCGCATGTTTATATACATATATAAAATACATACTATTGTGTGTGTGTGTACCGTTTAGCGAGGAGCACAGGCGGAGAGAGAGAGAGAGAGACGGTCCGCTGCTGCAGTAGTACAGTTCTCCTAATCGCTCACTGGGGTGCAATCGGGTGACAATCACTCGTTGCGCCGCACACACACTTAACTTGATTAAGCGACGACTGTATATATATATATATATGTGTGAGTGCGTGTGTGTGAGTGTGTGTGTGTGTGTGCGTGTGTGCGTGTGTGTGTTATTATATGTACAAATCCAGATTATTTGTAATCCCTCCGTGATCCGTGCAAAACATCCCATATGCGTGTATACGTGTACCCACGCCCTTATTATTATTATTATTATTATTGTTATTGTCACAATCGGTGCACTGATAATAATTTATTATTGACCGTCTCGTCGGGTGCGTGCATGCATCATGCATACAACTTGCATGCGGTACCTGCACACGCCGCACAGTCGTCCAATAATGCCCGTAGTGTGTATGGTTTAGACGATGCCGCGTAAAAATGTATATAATATTAATGTTGTTGTTTCGGTCGTACCGTCTCGGCGTAGGTGTACGTAATTTGTAGTCCGATGTTAAATTGTGACGTTTTTCTGCGATTTAGAATAATTGTTTGCATCTGTATGAGTGATGACTGATGATCAATGATAGTATTAATGTTATCTGATCGTAGTAGTATATACAAGTCGTGCAGATACAACTCGAAACGGAACGGTATCTATTCGCAACCGTATGATTTTCACAGTGTTATTGAAAAATATGTTAGGTACTATTTATGTGCTGGGTTGATACTTGATATACCCACAGTCGTATAAAAAAATTACATAAGAAAAACGATTTTAATGCAATAGCTCGGTGTACCTTATTTATATAGGTATAGTCTATTATAGTTAATTGTTCGTAAACTATCTACACTAAGTTAAAAAAAAAATGCTTTAAGAATTATCTAATCTCAATTTTCAATTTATCTTTTGTGATTAATGCATTATTTTAGATATTTTTTACTGAAGTATAAAAACACGCGTAATTGTATTGTTAAATTAACACATTCTTCAATTCACTCAAAATCTGTATAAAAAACCATCTATCGTACCTAATACCTATAATACTTGACACACATCCGAACAAAAAAGCATGTAAGATTAAATCTTAATGATAGCAAGTGCCGAGTATAACGTTACATTGTTAACAGAGCAGACCAGGAATCATTTGAACATTTTTTCATTTTTAATATACCTACCCAAAACAACTGATTTATTGTTGATAATTTGACCGTCACCTGTAAAATGTATAGCTCAATGTGACACTTACAAATACCTTATCACTATATTATATAAGAGTTAATTTAATATATAGGTAGTAAGAACATAACTATAAAATACCTACCCACGTTAGTGGCGTTTAGTCAGGATTTTCGTTTCGGAGGGGTTCTGATAGTATTTTTCTGTATACAACCATAAGGCTGTGCGGAGACTAGAGAGTAGGGAGACTTATTTCAAATATCCTCCATAAGTTTAGTATACTGCATGCTGATGCCCTGCCCGTAGCCCGTAGGTATATAACATTTTAGACTTTTGCAGTTACCTTCATACAATTTATAGCTATGATACATGATGGTTACGTGTAACGTATATAATACGTTCATAAAGTACTGAGAGCATTTTTAAATATTCCCGAAATTCCGGAGAGGACTGTAGTCCTTTTAGACCCCCCTTGCTATGCCACTAACACACATGACTTATTTACAGACGTCGACACAATGTCATCATTGTCTTGTGTTCGTGCGGCTACTTTTGATACATGTTTTGTAAATACATTTTACATAATTATTAATGATAAATTAAATATCTAGCTTATTCTGCATAATGACTCAAATAATATACAGGAATGCACAATTTCTGACGTTTGATGTTGTTTGATTTTTACATCTAAAAAACAGAAGCAACTTTCAGTCGGTGTCGGTAATTTGTCTGAACCATAATATTACTTTCTACAGCATAGTCTATTCGGCCAAAGACCAATAAAGACAAATTTCGATCGATTCTGTGTAATATATTATAATTTATAATATTATGATATAATACTTAAGCTATTAGTTTATATTTTCTTAGCATGGAACACTGAGATGTATTGTTTTTATTCATTTTTTTTATAGGCTTAATGATGCACCAGAACGTATCTACGCCACTAGAACCGTGTCGAGTGGCCCCGTACGTAAATGTGCCAAGACTGCCGCAGTTGCAATTCAATTCTTCGGCTGCAGCTGCGGCTGCGTTTTCTGCGTTCGATCCGGCCATCTTGACTGCTGCACAACAGGTAATTGTTAGTGTATTATCGATTACATTTAATATTTAAAGCTAATGCGTAGTTAAGAAAAGTTTAAAAAATTCAACCTGCTGTGCAAAATGTGTAACGGTTCACAGAAATCGTGTGAAACTTGTACCTAGCCGTGAAATATATTGTATTGTCAAGTCAGAGAGAAATATATATTTATTTCAGTTACATTATGCAGTGGCCATGGGAAGAGGTGTTCTGTGCCCTGCGCCATATCCTCCGGGTGGTCTGAGTCTAGCTGCTCTTGCGGCATTACATCAAGATAGACTGTTAACCAAAAATTCCAGTATAGCTGACTTGCGGTTAAAAGCTAAAAAACACGCCGAAGCCATTAGTAGAGACCAAGAGATTGTTTAACATTAGGCATGCCTTTTCTTTCGTTATGTTTTTTTTTTTATATGCTGTCAACAATTTCGTAATATTTTCATGCTACATCCATCGCATCCACTGCGAGAAAGGTGACACAATTTAAAAAATGTCAATATTAAGTCTACACTATGTATTAATAAACACGTATGATGCACATAAGCGAAAAACGTAATATTATCATCTCAAACTTTAAATGTGTCCACCATTGAGCAGTTTTGTCAGTTTTACTTTTAGACGAATCCATAGTCATCGTATCTAGAACAATGTCACGTATTTTCTCAAACTAATGTTTCAAGACAAATGTGTGGTGCCGTCAAGAAAAACGACACATTTCGAACTGTGTCTGTTTAAATGTTATAGTTTGTGTTTAAAAAATGACATAAGTAGATAATACTTGAGAGGCCATAACAACAAAAAATGATTTTGGATAAGCAAGAAATTTATATAGCAACTATTTTTGGCTTTTATGTCTTGTTCTGCTAAGTTCCACATCATAATTATTCAATAATATTTGATTTACAGATTCATAATACTCTTTTAGAATAATAAATCCTTATGGTGTCGTAGAATTTACTGTCAAACGTACTTATCTGAAACTTACAAGAAGCTCGTGCTATTTCAGTATAAGTTGTATTAATAGTTTCAACTAATTTGATTTTTTTTTAAAATCCCAGTTATTTTTAATTGTGTCACTTTCCTTGCTGAGGTGTGAATAATTTACATGATATTAATATTTTATTTTAGGTAGGTTTTTTAAGCATGAATATATTTAATGAAATATTTAGTTTTAAAACCACAAGTTGAAATGTACACGTTGTTTTCATTTGTCTTATTATGAGTACCTACTAACTTCATTATATCTAATAGGTACCTAATAATAATTAATAATATTTTTTGTTCTCGTCGTCCTATATTATAAAATATACAATACCTAATAATTGAAATATATTTTAAGCTGTGTAATGAATAATAATGAACATTGAAGACCTATTGACCTACTGATACTTAACGATAATAATATCTTTAATTCGCTATCAATTACATGTATATTATTGTTTATTATATTTGTATTTATTTATTATATTAATATTATTATTGTACTGTATGGTCAATGTGACTATATAAACTTACACTGACGTGTTATTACTGTTATATCCAATTGTATACGATAATATACGGTGATTTAACGCTTAACTAAGCATTCCGATTTCAAATTAATGTTATAAACTTATACAACAATAAAAGTATTTTAAACTTCAATTTGTATTGCTATAGCTAGAACTGTCAAATCGCCGATATGACATCGATTGTATTTTAGTGCAATAGTACAGATAAATCTAACAAATTTAATTTACAAATTAAACTTGTAAAACTATAAGTAATATTAAAAATAAGTTAAATGTATTATACTCAATATAGTAGATATAAAGTAACTCAAATATTGTAAATGTAAAGTATAAGTCCCATCGGTATAATATTTTTACTCGTTGAATAATGTACAGTGTTCTCTTGTACAACAAGAAACTTTTATGATTAAGATTTGTATACAAATATATTCTATACTTGTATGAGTTGTAGATTAAAAACTTACATTTGTGGCTGTTTTAAGTAGTAGTAAAAAATATAGTAATAATGTGGAAGATTTATTTAATATATTTATTTTTGTTACCCATATAAGTTTGTCTTAAAATTGTAACACTTGTATAATTTTTTACATAATATAAATCCGTTTAAACTCGAGGACATAGTTTCAATAATGCACGTTTAAAATATTAGATATATTATATTAGTGCAATTGTTTGATACATGATTATAATTTGTAGTGCATGTGCTGCGAATAACTGATAGACTAATAAATAACCTATTGGTATATGCTACAATCAAAGTTTTATAAATGCTAAATAATTATGTGGCCAACTTGTCAGTTGTCACTCTGTTTTATTTTATCGGACAGATGTGTGCTAATGACTTTGAAGAGAGAAATCGATCGAAATATTTAACGGTCGTACTTAACGTTACCTATACGTACACGCGCATTATAATATGATATCGAGTAATCAACAATTCAGAAAATTAAAAATGCGCCTACAACGAAAATTCCACGTATTATTATATCTATGACTTATTATTTCATCTTATAGCGTTTTATTTTTTTTGTAAAACTCACTACCTATTTGATTATTTATCATTATTATTATTATTATTATATATAATCATATTTTTTATATTATCATTATTATTATTATTGTTTGTTTATTATTACAGTTATTACGGTTACTCGTGTTAAGTGTTATATATTATACGTTTTACTCATTTGTAGATGGTTGTGACATTTTGTTTGTAATTATTAAAAACTATTTTGTCAAGCGAAGAAACATGATTTGCATGCAATATATAATTCAACGTACGTGATGCGTTTATATGTTATAAAATGCATAGTAAATAATATAAACGTAGAACATAAGTCATATATTATATATTTATATATATTATATCAAACGAAAATGATAATATATTGTGCAGATGCAGGCAATGGCGCAATGTGGTGTGCTCACGGGTTTTGGGTAGAGATACCTATATACATAATATTACATATTAAACACATAATAGTGTGTTATAGTCGTTCGCCTGCCACTTGGTGTTTGTCTACAGAGTGTTTCCCGGAAAATTTATATTTATTACTTTTCAAATACAATTTTGGAAAATTATTATTTTTAGTTTAAAATCACTCGCAATTGTTAAAACGAATAAAAAACTTTGTTTTACCTGAACTCAAAATATAAAATTAAAATAAACGCTTTCCCGTTTCTTATACAATTTTTTTTTATTAACTATTATGTTACTACTTTGACTATCGGGTTATTTCTCGAATTATTACAAATGGAACATATAAATATTACATTGTGAACGGTTACAATACATTTTAGTTATTAAAGATTTGGAAATCAAATTTAAACTAATGAACGAATTATAGGAGTTGATAATGAAGATAATTATGTACTTGGAAATATTGAACGTGAATAGATCATGGAGATACATTAAACTTTAATTTAGCATTGAAAGCATTTAGAACGGAAGAAAGAAGGGAGATCAGTGGACTGAATGACTGATTAATACATTTAAATTTAAAAATATGATTTATGAAGATGAATTTTAGTTAGCTCAGCTTATATATTTTCATTTTGAGATGGGTATGAACATCTGAAACTTCGGTTGGGGGAACCTTAGGAAACGTTTATTTTTTGGTTTGAACTGTTAGAAAGAAAATAATGTTTCTTATCAAATGTAGAAGCAAAGATTTAACTTTTTATAAGACGTACTGGCCTTTATATATAGTCGGTGCGGAGCGATCCGGAATATACAGCGCATTTGGCCCGTATTGGTATCTCAAGTGACTTATTGCAGTCTTTAGTAAGATGATCCAAGCTGCATTTAGAGCTGCGTGGCAAATGACAACAATATCTAGAAGTTCAACTGGAACCGTTTACATTGCGACTGTTGGTGAACTTTTCTGAAATTTTTCGACGATGACTTCAAAGTTAAGCAATTTTGTCAGCTTAAATATGTTCAAGTTAAACTCATTTTTTTACAAAGTTCACTAAAAATACATGCAGATGTAGTTTGTTGGTTTTATTGAGGATACTTTCAACGTTTAGAACGAAGAATCCCATTCCTTCAATTGGCCGTTTGGTGACGAATTGCAACTTTTATTGGACGGACGTGGGCACGTGGCGAACTATGAATGTGTAGAATGACAGATGTGACTTCATGAGCTATTGAGATATTCCGTAATTTTTTGGTTCCCGTTCGACGTTTTAATTTTTAGGAAATCTTTGAGTTTGTAAAGGTAAACCCATCTGGCCCCAAGATAAGGATATAGGATCGTGCTTACTGAATTGAAGTTGGTAATATTTTTAATAAATATTGGTGGTGACGAACATCGACCATGATGATCTCACCTCGATAGTAGGAGGCACTAGGCCGTAGCCAGGGGGATTCAACCCCCCCCCCCCCCATTCCCCCCGAAATTTCTGGATAAGGCTTTGATTTTCATATTTTATTATGTAATATAACATATTTATACTCAAAACCCCCCTAAATATTTTTCTGGCTACGGTCTTGAGGAGGCAGAGGAGGTCTAAATACATCAGGACATTAGGTGGGTACTAGGAACAGTAGGAACTAGGTATCGAAACTATTGTTCCCGGGGAGATGTATACATATCGGTTTAGAGAAACAAAATGTTTGCTTTTATTTTCCAGCTTCGAAGACGACGTGCAGAATGGCGAAGATTAGGATATAATATATCGTTTTGATTGGTTAATGTACGTGCTTCGATTTTAGATATACATATATTTGTATATAACATGATGATGTGTGTAGGTACAACTTTGTCTTGTCCGAGCTATCGCATGTCCGCCGCAATAACTGTATGTTCTGACGATGGGAGCGATGCGTGTGTACGATCCGACACAGACCTGATCATAATTTATTGTATGATAAAATGCGTAATATTATTCGCAAATATATTCGAATTCGAAT